TTCTAAAGGAAATTAAGGTTTCCACCTGGCCTGCTGTGACAGAGTACCCAAACCAGCCAGGGTCACCATGGTCACCTCCAACACACCATCAGTCTGCAGCAGAGAACTCTACCAAACCTTACAAAGGGACAAAGGACTCTAAACCCAAAGTAAAAATAAAATCACAACCACCATAGAGCACTGAACCCTGCTGTGTGTTCCCATACAACCCTGAAACACAGGGAAGTGTCAAGGGAAGCTTCTGCTCCTAAGTCAGCTTTGCTCCAGAAGGACAGTGAAGGTAACTCACTGATAAAGCAGGTATTAGATGAGCCAGTTCCCAGCCCTTCCTCCCTTCTCCTTGCATGGCTCAGCACAACATCCCCCAGCACACGGAGCTTTAATGCTGCAGGAAGAGCTCTTGATCCTGGCAATACACACAGTGAGTGTCAGACCAAAGCAGGGCCAAATGACCTGCTAAGGATGGCTCCAGCAGCTCAAGCAGCACCATCAGCCTGGTGCAACCCTGAAACCAGCAGAGCCACAACACATCACACACCAGTTTAATCGGGAAAGGCAACCCACCCACGAAGACCCCCAGACTTCAGCAGAAATGTGTGCTCTGATAGAGGAACAGAGGAAAGTTCAATTAAGAGGATCTTCTGGGAATCTCCAATTACAGGATGAGCTTCCCTTTAGAAACATGTTGACACTTGACCACAGTTTCCACAGCCTTTCCCAAAAACAAAAGTTTATCTTGCACAGCATTAGAATTGCTATCAGCAAACCTATTTCCACCAAATGCCTTGTGCCAGTTTTTGCTCCACAGCTGTGTGACATTCATGTGCACACCCACTTCTCTGTTTGCCAAGCAATCCAGGCCGACCCTGACCCAAAATTTTCCCCACACAGAAATCTGGCAATTGATTTATCCAAGGCCAAATTCAGTTGCCATTTGTTCTGGTCACCCATTAGCATTACCTAAATACACAAGTAGCTCTAAGCTCTCCCAGCACTGCAATAACTTCTTTGAAGCCCTTCTTTTCCCTTTCCTCTGACCTCAAGTCACGCAGCTGCATCATTTGATACAAGATATTCAGATGAACCAGTTATTTCAATGCAAGGAGGTAAATCTCCCATTCAGACCTCACTAACAAGGATCTGGACCTGCAGAATGAGTGGAACCAAAGCCCGGTTTCAAGTGAGAAAAAGGACAAATGCAGAGCTGGCCATGCTAGGGACCACCCAGAGCTTTAGCCAACGCCAGGAGACAACTTCTTGGCCATGAAAGCTCCACCTGAGCAGCACTATCACCAAGGGAGAGCTCTGCAGGTATCACCAAGGTTGCATCACCTCTTTTCCCAAGCTCCCTGTGTACACAGCAAGCCAGGGATTTGTCAGAGCCACCGGTGTGGAGACTCAGGCCCTTGGTAGGAAGTCAGCAAAGGTTTCAATGCTAAGATGACCAAAGGATAAGTAACACATTAAAGACCATAATGCAAATGTGTATCGCGGTTGGAAATGAACAAAGCTCCTCTGACCCAAGGGTAAGAGCACCTGTAATAACTGTAGGGCTTAAAACACTCAGCCTGGTCTGAACAGCAAGCACAACTTTCCACTAAAATGTCCATTCCTTATTTTGCCAAACAAGAACAACAACGGAAATGGTGCTGGAGATTCATTATAGTCTCAAGTATGTAAAGAGCAACCTAACTCTATCCAAGTCTGCATTTGGCATTGCCCTGAAGATAATTTCACACTGTTCGAGCACAGTAAAAAGATCTGGTGTCATAATCTGGAAGGGAGAGCAGAGCATTGCAGCCCCAGTGCCCCCATTTCCAGTCCTGCTTTCTGGACTCGATTTGTCTCCACATCCAAACAAAGTCCTTCTGCTGCCCCAATCGTGGTGGAAATCTCCATGGCACAAGAAGCAATATAAAGTTTAAAAGAAGACCTGTAAGAGTAAGGAGATGGCTGGAGAGAATTCTTCAGCAATGCCTTGGACCTGGAAATCTGGAGCTGGAGGTTGCAGCAGAAGCAGGCACCGAAGCCCAGCAACCAGGGCCCATGAGTCAGCTCCCAGGAGCTGCGCTGCATTCCCCAGCCTTCTCTGCCCGAAACAAACAGTGCAGAACAGGGCAAAGGTCCAGCACAAAGCTGAAGGGCAAAGGTATGTGGGGGAGGGAAAACACTAAGCCTCACTTTTTTTTGAGCAACAAGTCCAGTTACCCTCATCCTCCCCAACAAGATGGGATGAGTTACTCGAACGTGAGTTGTGGGACTGGAACAAAACAGGAGTTTGGAGAGGAAACTTGGGGAGGTGGTGGAGGCCTCCTGCTGCGATAGCAGCTCTGTTGCAACAGCCAGAAGAGCTCCACAACTACGTGCCACGACAGAGTGAGAATTGCCCAACACTCTGGAAATAGGTGTGTGCAGGACTACCAAGCTGGATACCTGAGCAAGCAAATGTGTCTACTCTGAACACGAAGAAATGCCAATGGTAAAACAAGCTTCCCATCCATCTTATCTCCTCTACTGGAGGCTGATTTCAAGGAAAGCCCTATGGGGAGTTAGTCAGCAAGGGGTGAGATGCTAATGAACCTTCCCCTGCCTTCTCCTCAGCACCGGTAGCCAAGTCAGACTCTGCTCAGGCATAAAGCAACACGCACTCTCAACAACAGTCAGCTCACCCCGGTGCTTGCTGCTAGCAACTAAGGTGTGCCTTCTGGAAAGTGCTGCCTATCCACCCAGCACGTTTGGCAAACAGCATGCAGGAAACTCTGCTCAAGAAATCAAAGTACCTCCTGCATCTCCTCTAGGAAATACACCGCTTTCCTTGGCCAAGCACTTACAAGGAGAATTTTAAAAGTTAGCCCAGGTAAAACTCAGCGATTGCAATGCCAGTCATTAAAACCTGCGTGTTCTTACTTCCAAGATGTAAATGGCTTTAAAAATAAAGAAGTGCCAAGTGTCTTGATGCAACATTTCTTGAAATACATCCAGCAGGTTTTCAAAACGGGGTGCTGTTAACACCTGTCCTCACCAAGGCTTGCATCAGCATCAGCCCTGGTGCAGGGCACAGCGGAGGAGTACAACATGTTCCAGAAGGTCGAGCTGTTTTAACTGCAAGCCACACTGCTCATCTACAGAAAAACTGAAGAAAACACTTTGAATTTGGTTTATAGCCAGTAGTGCAAAGCTGGTTTTGCCAGAAAACGTTGCCTTCACTACCACAGACACACACTACCATCATGTGTCAGTCAGGCTGCTGGCTGCATTTATTTACATGATAAGAAGAGAACATGTAATAACGAGGGCATGGTCACACAGACCTTGCTACTAGATCATTAGAGAGTAAAAACGAGGCATCATTACAGCTCTGCAGCGTCCCTCACAAGCAGTCAGCAGTGTCAAGTACAAGCCCTACCACATGGGACAGGACCATGTGTACCTCAGGACTCAAAGGATTCCCCATCTCCTCTGACAGAAACTCACACAAATAAAAAGATAACATGCATTTTGTCAAGAGACCGTGAAAATTTTCTGGTGTGCTACTCCAGAAGAGCCTCAGCCTCCTCCACTCACAGCATCAGGTGTCTAACTCGACCTAATGGTTGCCCCACTTACTGCCAAGCCATTGTGCCTTCGGGAGGTTAAGAAGCAAGGAGAGGCTTCACTTCAAGAGCCCTCCTTCCTGAAAAAGCAGAAAGCTTTGCTCGCACATCCTATTATATTACAGGCTTCACTGCCAACTTTGAGCATAAAAATGCTGCAGCAGGTAGGCAAGACACAAGCTTCTAAAGGTAAATTGTAATCCATGAAAAAATGACCCTATTCTTCAGTCCCTGTGTCAGGCCCCAAATGGACTCAATTTGCCCAGCTGTGGCGTGTCAAGCCGTTCAAAACAAGCTGCTGTTTTGACCACCTGGAGGTGGATTTGTTAAGCTCTTCCCTATCCATATTCCAACATGGACAGCAGAAACTAAAGATCTTGCAGGTGCCTGTTTTCCCTGAGCTCAATGCTTTTACTTTTATAAGCACCAATTCCAACGCAGGCCATTACAGAATGCGTGGACACCTAAGGAGAAGGTCTTGTCCATTAAATGTACTCTATGGGTCTATAATTAATATAATCATTACAAAAAAATAAGGGCTTTCAAAGCCTGTAAAACAAGTCATAGAGGGATCCCTTTATCGTTACAGAGCTGTCTGCACTACACTCTCTGGTCTCCTCACTACCTCTGGTGGATCAGGGCTGGAAACATTTAATATCTCCAGCACACAAGCACTGCACTGGGAACACAGCTGGATTATGAGCAAAGGCCTTGTAAGCTCTGCTGAGAAACCAAAGACTTCCAGTAGCTACCTTCCAGAGTTCAGAAGCTCTCAATCCACTTCAAGTGTAGAAAAAGAGTTGCTTTCCTTTGGTGATCTTCCTGGAGGTCACCACACCATGACAACTCACCTCACCAGCTGATTCTTTCACACAAATTCACGCTCCAGATCTTTTTTGGTAAATGCCTGCCAAAACAAATCCTCCACCCAATGAAATGAAGACACAACATGAGCCTGCAAACTCTACGAGAAGGTACCTGGGTGCAGGGCTGCCAGGCAAGGTCAGCTGCCAGCCTGCCTCTCGTGGGAGCTCAGCAGCCGTGTTTATTTTACACGTTTTCTCTTCTGCTAATGAACACGCAGCAAAAGAAACAATGGCCCAAGAGAGGCGAGCCAGGCAGCAGCACTGGGGGCATTGCTGAAACCAGTCGCTGCTGCCAAGCGTCCCAGAACACACCACCAACAAATTCCATTTTCTAAACACCTTTGGGAATACAGAGACAACAGTGCTGGGCCCAAGGACAATTCTGAGTGTTGCAGCATTACTCCCTTACCCTACAACTGCATGGACACGCTGATGACACATCGTCACTCTGTCCCTCAAATAATCACCCCACGAGTTCCAAGGGCCCCCTGCTTGTGCTGGGCAGCTGCCTCGTGGCTGCTGACTCTGACAAATCACACACCTTTGCAACCGATGAGGCTGGTAATGAATCCGGACACTCCTTACACAGGAGAATCAAACAGGAACACTCAACCTTGCAGTTTTGCATTTTTTGGTTTTTTTTTTTTTTTTTTTTCCTCGGGATCGTTATCTCAGAAGGCATCACAATAGAGTGCAACCTCCACACAAAGGAGCGATGTGACCAGTTTCGTGTCATAACGCACGAGGCAAATGCAGACAGCGACGCTGTCCTGGATTTCCTTAAGCTTTGCTTATGTCCATGACTACAATGACAAACCACCAAACAATCCCAACACGGACTTCTACCTGGCACGATTAACTTGTCCTCTATACTTCCCATTAAGATGACAGCTTTCCAGGTGGAAATTGCATAGCTGTCCATCTCCCAGAGATCAATAACTCTGATGAATCACCATGCTAGGTGGTAACAGTTCTTACAAAACACTGGCACGTACAGTAATTGGGGATCTGATGGCACATCTGGCAGCGTGATTTCAGAGCTAACAGAGACAGGTAGAAAAAGATTAAGTCTTTCCCAAACAAGACGCTTAATGAAAACTTCTGTGCTTTTCTCCTGCTCCAGAGTCCCTTGAAGCAGGTACGAGAGGAGCGCAACACCCATCCCGACAGGCGAGGAAATGGTGCTCTGCAGTTTCAGCCTTTGCTGACGACAGCAGCGGGTTACAAGCGCGATTTGGACAGCGCAGCCCCTCCGCTTCCCTTTTCGGGGACCCCCGCTCCCCAGGCGTGCCCCCAGCCC